GTTGGATCGTACTATTGTAGTGAAAAACAAACGGTTTGGTTTTTGAGTTTTAAAAAAGATTGATTTTTAGCTTCATTTAGGTTTTTCTTTATATATCAAGCCACTAGGTTAAAACCCGTGGAACCCACGGGTGCTGTTTTTGAATTGAATTTAAAAATTAATTATTTAATAAAATATTATATCAATAATTCTGATAACTTATAAATTGTAATATTGAATATTTAAATAATTTTTTTTATTGGTAATTATTTAATTACTAACTAAATGGGAAGTATTTAATTAGGAATGAAGATTTTTGAAAACTATTTTTTTTATTCATCATTCTAATTGGACATATGCAGATGATACAATACCAATGTGTGTAATGAAATTAACATAAAATACAACAATACGTAATTATAAAAAAATACAGTAATATGATGGATTAAGTGTGATTTCCTAAAATTGAATAAAACGACGTTACAAAAAAGTTGGCTACAAATTTCGAAAAACTTCCTTATAAACAACATTGGAAGTTTTATTTGTGAGTTTGCCATCTTTATCTAAAATTAATAATTTTAATCCCTCTCTACTCTGAACTCTAGATAAGGCAACATACAATTGTCCATGTGAAAAAACTGGATCGTTCAGAAACAGACCAACCTTTGACAACGATTGTCCTTGACTTTTGTTAATAGTCATTGCAAAACATACAGCCAAAGAAAACTGTCTTCTTGTGAATTTGAAGGGAATCTTTTTTTCTGATGGAGTTAAAGACATTCTTGGAATAAAAGTCCGATTTCCAATATTAGTTCCAGTTATTATACGTGCCTCAATAACACGTTTGCCCAATGATAACACCTGTAGTCTTGTGCCATTACATAAGTCGTTTTTCTGATCAATATTTCTCAGTAACATTACTGGAACACCAATTTTTAAAACTAATTTATGATTTGGTAAACCGGATACTTTAAGTCCATTTAATACATCAGGAGAGTATAGATTTGCATCAAATTGATCATGGAGAAATTCGGATTCACATATGCAGTCTGAACTTAAATATTCAACTTGATCTCCTGGAAACTTCTTAAGTAAACAGTCGTTTATTTCCTGGACAACTTCATTTTTTGGAGCAAGTATCGCTCTTTCTTGGAAATAATTTATATCGCTATAGTACTCTAAAATTGAAGGATATACAAACTCAATTAAGGAACCTATAGGATCATGTGAATCATTAATGAGAATATCATCCGGAATATCGATAATCGTTTCACCGTCGTTCGGACCACCAAGTTTTCCTTCTCCTATATCCAACAACCAATTTGCAAAATCTCTTATTTTTCCTATATCTGATTGATCCCTTCCAACAGTTAGCCTCATGTTTTTTGTTAATCTATGGACTTTGCAATGTTCCCATAAATATGAAGAACTCAAAGAAGCATTTACAATGTTCTGTCTACTGCCACCCGGCACAACAGGTAGAATTTGTCTAAAATCTCCTCCAAAGACAATAACTTTCCCTCCAAATGGAATATTTGAGATGGTTGAATTTACGCACCTTAATAAATCCTTCAAAGTTCGATCTAAAGCTTCAAATGCATGCTTATGGACCATAGGTGCTTCATCCCAAATTATCAAAGAGGTTTTCCTTATTAAGCTTGCCAACTCACCGTCTGGATTTATGTTACAAAAAGAATCCTCTGTAAGCTCAAATGGAATTATAAATCGAGAGTGTGTTGTTCTACCACCGGGCAATAATAAGGAAGCAATACCACTTGAAGCAACATTTAATACAATATTTCCTTCAGATCTAATTGCTGCAGATATTGTTTTCCATAAAAAAGTTTTACCCGTTCCACCATACCCGTAAACAAAGAAGACACCTCCTTTATTTTGTTGAATAGCACTCTTGATGTTTAGGAAAATGTTCCGTTGCTCATTTGTTAATGCAAGAAACATACGATCATAGTCATTCTTTATCACGGGAATGTCGTAATCTAGTTCCTCGGTGATAAGTCGATTGTTTGAAGAAGAAACGGATTCAACATCTAGGTATGGCATGTTTTTGAAGTTTTTGAGAGTAGAGTTGTTTCGAAGTAAAATTTGTTGTATTTCGAACAAAGTTAAGTTCTTAAGTTCATCTACTGTTTCCCCAATTTCAACCAATCGTGGGTTCGGATGATATCAGGGGTTAAAACCCTAGATCTCCATGGAATCAATGAAGGTAAAATTGTGTGATACACGATAATCGTGATGATTATAAATTGCTTATTGATCTTATGTATCTATTCAAGATTATTTTTTTACAATTAGAAAAACATCTATTCCAGCATATTGATTATTGTTGTAAATTTCAACCATAAATTCATAGAGAAAACAAAGTGATCTAAACTGATAATACTAACCTGACATATGGATATGGAAATCTTGCAGGTAGAACTGGAATGAGGATTACAACTTTAATGAAGCAGTTTGATGTAAGCTTAATGAAAAAAAAAGCACATAAACAATTGAACATTAAGAAGACGAATGAGGTGTTTCAAAATTTTGGATTTCACGTTTTGAGGTAAAGTTATATGCTTGAATATTGGAAAAAGATTACGATTATATGATTTTATTGTTGTTGGATCTTTATTAGATATAATTTTCTTCCTAATTTTTTGGAATTTAAAAGATTACAACTAAAAATTAGTTTAATATTCAGATTTCATCTAAAAAGGGAGTATAGAATATTAGGAAATAGTTGGTTGAATATAGGTTATTTACAGAAGATAAGTAAATATGTTGCAACCATTACAAAAATGTATGAATTAATTTTAGAGAATCAAAGATATAAATTTTGTTTACATTTTATTATTCACAATACATAAGTAGCAGATTTTATTATTCAGAATACATAAATAGCAATATACTTAGTTTTCGACTTTTGAGTCCAAAGATGTATGATTCGAACTTTAATTGTGAAATCATCCTTGATTGAGTCAATTTCCTTTATAGGAGTAATATGTTCCATTGTACCTTGTAATTAAAAAATAATTGTTTTGTTAACAAAAATGTTAAAATATAAAAAGAAAAATCGAAAGCCATTGATTGATTTATTTATTTATTTGTCTTAATTGTTAATTGGCATTTATCAAAACATTTTCAAGTTAGGGGCAATATGGTCGTTTTGGAGTAAACGAAGTGGAAAAAGCTTGAAAAGCGTACTTGCTTTAACAACGGAAAGAGGTTCCTTCAGCGGTTCAGCTTTAGGTCTCGGTTCAGGTGCTTTTCATGATTGTGGTGTTTAGGGTAACATGACAGTTATAAAAAATAAAAAACTATATCATAGACTATAGAAGTTTTATTATTCAAAATACATTAAAAAAAAAAAAAAAAGTAGAAATAGCAATACACATTGAATTTTTTGTTATTCAGAATACATAAATAGCAGAATACATAAAAAACCAAATAGATTGATTGATTATTATAGGTCAGATTTTATTATTCAGAATACATAAATAGCAGATTTTATTATTCAGAATACATAAATAGCAGAATTTTATTATACAAATTGATTGATTTATTTATTTGTCTTAATTCTTAACTGCGATATATCAAATACTTATCAAGTTAAGGGCAATATGGTCTTTTTGAAGTAAAAGAAATGGAAAAGAGTAAGATGACAGTTATAAAAAATAAAAAAGTATATCATACACTATAGTAGAAATTTTTTTATTCAGAATACATAAAAAAAAAAAGTAGAAATAGCAATATACATTCAGTTATTTGTTTTCAAATTAAGGGCATAGATTGATTGATATAGCAGATTTATTATTCAGAATACATAAATAGTAGATTTTATTATTCAGAATACATATATAGTAGAATTTTTATTATACAAATTGATTGATTTATTTATCTGTCTTAATTGTTAACTGCGATATATCAAATACTTATCAAGTTAGGGGCAATATGGTCTTTACATATATAGCAATATTTTTATTATACAAATTGATTGATTGATTGATTTGTCTTAATTGTTAATTGCGATATATCAAGCAGATGAAGTAAGATCGATTGTTTTGAAATGCGATGTCAAATCTGTTGAAGGGTGTAATGATTATTGTTTTCGAATGGTATGTGTTCGATTGGTTATTGGGTTTGTATACAGGGATCGATTTTAAACGGAGGTTAAAGATTGTGGGAACGAATAACTGTTAAATTCGATGTTTTCTGGAACGAAGCCTTGGTTATTAAATGAATCATACGAAGGATCTGTTATTTGATTTTGGAATTGGGGCGAATAATCGAACGATTTGGAGTTGCGAATTTGATTTTGAAAAGCCAATCAGTTGGGTTCGCATATGAAAACAGATAAGTTTTGATTTTGGATTCGCAATTGGGTTAATTGGGTTATTGATTGAGGGACGATTCGTGAAGAAAAATGCGAAGTCAAGAAGGACTGTGAAATGTGATTTGTTCAATATTGGAGTCAAATGCAGTTCACGTGTAAAAGCAAAAATGTTCGCATTTGGTAATACAAATCAAAATTGGGTTTCGCATATGAGGTTGTATGGATTGGGGTTAAAGATGCGAAGGTGATTATGGTTAATATTCATTTCGCATTTGGTGAGACAAACAACTCAAATGCGAATGAACTAAAAAAAAATGACTGGAACATGCGAAGAAAGAGGTGAATGAAGAATGCGAATTTTACAGTAGAATGCGAATTGGGGAAGAAAGCTAAGAATTTCGCATTTTTATTATACAAATTGATTGATTGATTGATTTGTCTTAATTGTTAATTGCGATATATGAAATATTATCAAGTTAGGGGCAATATATTTTATTTGAGTTATAACCAAAATCAACTAACTTGTCCAATTTAAAACAATAAAAGTATCCAAAAATATTCAAAACCAATAATATTTGACATCCTAAATACCCCAAAATAAAAATCATACCAAGCAATTAAAATATCTTTATAACCAAAACAAATGATCAAAATATATTAAATGTGTCTTATAACCGATAGAAACTCACTTTTCAATTTTTGGAATCAAGAGTGGAGTTTCCTCTGCGGTTGACTTTCTTTTAGCCTTAGTTGAACTTAAATCATATCCAGAATCAACATCATAAATTTCTTGGAGGTTGCGCTTCAAATCACCTGATATTTTGCAAGGACTTGTTGCGGTTGACTTATCAACTGTTGAGGGTGTAAAACTTTCGTCTGTTTGTGAGATCACATCCTAATTTAAAAAAAAAATGTTTGATTCCTAAAAAAAATAACTAATATAATTAAAAGTTTATAAAATAAAATGAAAAACCTTTTGAACAGGCTGTACAACATCATCGGATTCCAAAGCAACTTGATTTAAGGAGACAGATTGAATACTCTAAAAAATAAAATGGAAATATGTTAATCGTTATGTACTTTAAGTTATTATACTCTATAAAAAATTGGAAATATGTTAATTGTACTCTAAAATAAAAAATTGATAAACTCAAAATAAAAAATTACATACCATAAGTTCTATTTTACTTTCCAATTCACAAACAATGGACATATCTTCTGTAACTCTGAGAACTGTGTAGATGTTATTATAGTTGTTGACATTGTATTCTGTAATATCTACAACAAAACCAAACTTGCGGTTTTTCAACACGTTAAGTTGCATTGGAAATAGGGCATCACTGTCTCCGGCCTGTAAGATATATTTTAATAAATTAAAAAAATTAAGTAAATGTTTTCTGATTTTAAAGGTATGAATAATATACCGCATCATGTATCTTTTTCAACTCGTAGGCACTTATATTTAACAACCTCCTTGCTTCCCTATCAAAAAGAGTCAATCCAATGGTTCCAGTACAATCTTGTACGTTAATTGGAATTATATACCTAAAACAAAAAATAATTATGTCATTGTTAGTGTTGTTTTAAGATTGACAAAATTAATAGAAATAAATATGTCTATACTTTATAACTGACTGAAATTCAGATTTTTTGCATTGTGCATTTGTACACTCGACAACCATAGTTTCTGAAATTCCCTCAGGGTTGGTATACGAATGATTGGTTTTGGGAACAGGGATAATTTTTTTCCACATTTTTTGCATGCTTCATAATACCATGGTAGATTCTGCCTTATATTAACAATGGAAGCAACTAATAAAAACTTCATTTCCTGTATCATATCAAATGTAAAAATTATTAAAATAAATTATGCAAAAATAAAATGTAAAACATATAAAATAATGCAATATACCTTAATTGGTTCGGTGATCTCACAGATTGTTTTTAATGGAAAATTGCCCTTAAAGTCATCTGTATATGAAGAAGAGTAGCTTTGAAGTGTAGTTATGCTTTTTTCAGTTATACCGAAATTGTCATGACATTTCAACCTGTAATGTTTAATTTAGATTCATGAATATTAGGTTTTGTGTTTTTTTTAAGTTAAAATACATTATAAAAAAATAAAAAACAATTGGAAACTAACTTATTTTTAAACTCATTTATTTCATAAATGTCAGAATTTATGAACAATTTCGTTACTTCAAAATGACTTTTAGCTTCACCAAGACCTGTAAAAAATGTATATCCAATTATTAAAATTTATATAAAAACAGTAATTATAAACATCTATATATAAAGACTGAATACAAACCATTCCAAATGTTTAGCTTCAAAAACTGCATCACGATAACAACAAAATTAACAGTCGGGTTATTTTTTAGGTATTCTGAAATTTGATATGCTTGACTTCCAAAAATAGTAACCTTCAGATGTACAGAACTAAATAAACCATAAAATAGTATATTAATATTAATTTGTGATTAATTAAAGATAATAAATAATAAATAAATAATACAATATAATCTCACTCTAGGTTGCTAAGAGTGACTTTTATATAATGCTTGGATGGTACTGGATTTGAAGTTTCAAGAGGCCTAAATGACACGATATGTCCAATAACATCTACACAACAGATACCACAAAAAAATAAAAGTTTAGGATTAAATTCGTAATATTTAAATAATAAAATGTATAACCAAAAAAACAAATGATAAAAAATGATTTTATTAATATTTTATGACTAACCAAAGAATGTGTCTTTGGGCATGTTTGTTCTATGATAGAATTAAAGTCAACAAACATAAATCCATTGACCGACCCGAGAAATCATCACATTTTTTTAGGATGCTTTTCCAATCCAAAGTTAAGGTCTGTTTATGACCTGTATAACTAAAACCATTAGTAACAGCAGCCATATTGGGTTTTATAACTATATAACTTTCATCTTCCTTTAAAAGATGACGAAATCTGGAGAAATTCTGATTGAAGACACGAGCTTGGTATTGTGTACCCTGTTTAAAAAAAATTAAAAATTATTATGTTCATGAAACATGTCTAATATTGAATGATGAATAAAAAATATATCAAATACAACAAACCTCCTCATCCATGATGATCATTTCAATGGAACAAACTTTATTATTTCTGACAAAGTTCCAAATTTTAAGCACCCGAACCTTGATATGCGATTTTTCATCTATCTGGTCAATGTTATTTAGGTAAACCTTATTTCCTATTTCCATTTTCTGCAATAAATTTAATCATTATAGAATTGTAAGGAAAATTAGCAACCTTTTAAAATGTACAGAACATCCTAACCAATAAGTAAAACAGAAAAATTATAAATCAACACATGACAATAACAACTGACTTAATGTACTCATAAATTTTTAAATTGAATAATTCATTTTATAATAAAATGGAATACAAACAAAAACAAATAATTCATATGAAATAATGTTTTAGATTGAATAAAAGTTTATATAATAAGATGGAACACAAATATATAATAAACATGAAAACGACAATTATACCGAAAATGCCCCTGCAACATACTAACACTAACAGATAACATAACAATGAGTAAAACAGAAAAATTAAAAATCAACACATGACAATAACAACTGACTTAATGTACTCATAAATTTTAAAATTCTAAATTTTTTTGAGATTGTATTTAGATAAAAACAAACAAATTTTAAAATTTCATACCATAAAAAAAAGTTACTGTGCACATCTGAAAAAGACTATTTTTAATTTTTTTTAAAGAAAATGAACTTGTAATGTTCATTAGTTTTTCGTCTTTTAAACTGAAAAGGTAGAAGAAGTAGACGATTAAGAAGAATTACAAAAAAGAAGAAGAATAGAAATCATACAATGAGAACGTGATAGATACAGATAAATAAGAACATGGAGGAAATAGAAATATTGGTAATTCTGATTTTTGAATACACTAACCTGATATTTAATTCTTGAAGCGTTGCAGAATAACAAAGAATGAAGAAGAATACGTTTGTGTGGTTTCTATGGAGCAGAATTGTTATGGAGCAGAATGGTAAAAACAAAATAACCATATAAATGATATTTACGTTTGCTGAAAAATACTGCAGATTTTTAGGGATTTAATGATTGCAATATATTGAATTTGCAATCAAAATAAACAAACTTTCAAATTTAATCGTGATTTTCGAATCTGATTATTCATTAACATATTTTTTCAAATTATTTCCATAATCTTTATTCATTTAAAATTAATGCATTAATATTTTGAATGCAGTTGACAGCTAAAATTGCCTGATATATTGCATCAGTTTGAACTTTTATTCAATTTTCGGATTCAATGGCATTTACGTAAATATAGAAGAAAAAATGAGCGGGAAAACTCTATTTTGGGGGGCTGGGAGAATGCCACGTGGCCGAGTTCTACTTATTTATTAGAATTAGGATTTAGTATGATAATGATTAGGTCGGTGGTGGTTCTACAATGGGGCGGATCCATAAATATTTTTAGGTGAAGGTAAGAAAATATTTAAACGTGTTTATGTCTGAATATAAAAAATACTATATAGTCTTCTTGTTTGAGGTAAAATTAACAAAGTTGTAAAGAGACTCGTATCTTGTTTGTGGATTAAAAAGCAACTATACGTATCGAATCAGAATAAATTTAAGTCTTTAATATATTAAATTTTTTATATTTTTTTAGGTGAATTTAAGAAAATGAGGGCGTTATATTTTATAAAAATGTTTCACATGGACTTGAACAAAAAATTATTTATCGACACCTACCAATTCAAGTTCTAAAAAAACTTCAACTTTTGTATAATTTAAGTATGAAGACCTTATTAGTATTATATTCTTTTTAAAATTATATTTGTAAAATAAAAAAATGATGTTTTTAGTCCAACTCTTTAGCTAACTCTTTAGCTTGAAAGGACATATCATTAAAACTATCCATGTGCAATAAAACTTATTTTTCAATACGCTACAAAAGTATTTCTTACTTACGCATAATAAATATCAAAAGTTCAACAAAAAAACAAGCCTCCGTGATATCAAAATGGAAAATAACAAAAATGTCCTACGCAACTTTCTAAGGTTTATCAGTTGAATTCCTAAAGTTTTTGTCGGACGTTATGGGTCCCTAAACTAGGATATGACATTTTCTTTTAGTACCTGTCAACCTGTAGTAGTCGGTTTATTGACATTTTATACAAAAAAAAACTCACATTGTGCCCCTAAAAGCCAAAAAGAATAAGTTCATGGATCAATTCGTACAAAAAAAACTCTCATTTTCTTCTACAGCCGATTCACACTCAATTCGTATTGATCATCGAACTTATTTTTTTTGGTTTTATAAGGGCATGGTGTTAGTTTTTTTGGTCTAAAAGGTTACTGAACCGGCTATTACAAGTTGACAGGGACAAAAAAAGCATGTCATATCCTAGTTTAAAGATCCATAAAGTCCGACAAAACTTTAGAGACTCAAAGGGTAAACCCTAGAAAGTTCGTAGGGTATTTGTATCATTTTCCTATCAAAATATATAGTGGGAAAGAAGGATTTGAAATAGAACATAAATGAAATCTATGACTAATAATAAAAATATGCAAAAGAAAAAGAATAAAAACAACTAATAAAGCTTTTGTATTGTGGGTAATAATGTGGTGTTGCATGTCGTTAAATGTAAACTTTTGTGCATCAATTTTTTGGTTAAAAAATATAAATAAAAGCCTATAAGAGGAGTCGAACTATAACATCCAAAATCTAGAAGGACAAATTATGGAAATAAATTCCCTTTTTAGGGGTCAACTCGTCGAGTTTATTGCATAAACTCGACGTGTTGGAAGTTTTTGGGGTGCGTGTTTTTTAAGGACCAACTCGTCGAGTTGGTGACAGGAACTCGACAAGTTGGACGTTGTTTGAGAAACTCTAATTTCGGAATTTTGCACCCTATTTAAACACCTTAAGTCCTAGGTGTTGTCTTTATTTCCAGCCTCTATAGCCTCTAACCCTAATCTCGAAACCCTAAAGCCTTTTTGAGTGTTGTAATCCCTTTGTGAGTATGTTTTGGTGTGTTTGAAGCTCTTAGAAGAAGGAGAAGCTTGGTGCAAGGTGGTGGTTCAAGTAGAAGCCTTCAGATCTTGATTGTTTGCATCGTTTCCAACATATTGTGGGTATAAAGTTCTATCATTGCTTAATATTTGATTAGATCTCTTTTTGGGTTAAGTTTTGATGCTTTTAGCCATGTTTGGGTGATTGGTGGGGTTGAAGGACATCCCAAGTGCTATCCTTCCAGATCTATGGTCCTCTTGAGCTCTTTTGGCATAAAGGTACCAACTTTATGGTCCTAAGGGCTTCATGCATTCATTAAGTCCTTCTTTTGTTCTCGTTTAATCTTTTGAGCTCCTTCTAAGCATGAATAAGTGTAAAGTCGGAAACTTTACATGGCCATCTAGCCTCTTATGGTCAGATCTGCATCTTGGAGTTGTGTCCTTATGGAATAAGTGCTTAATGAATAAGTCCTTACCCTTTTAAGTTAAGGGTTTGGGTTTTGAACCCATTTTGGTGGTTCTTAGGGGTAAAGTTGGAAACTTTACCCTTCTTAAGGCCATTTTAGTTCAGATTTGAATGGGAGAAGCTGCTAGTTTCGATTATGTTAGCTTAATGGATTAAGTTGTTTGGTCTCGGGTGAACTCGGCAAGTTGGATGACCAACTCGACGAGTTGTTTTGGTTTTCGTCGACTTTGAGTTAGTGTGGGTCAACTCGATGAGTTGGTTAGACAACTCGGCCAGTTAGACCGGTTTCTTCCCGACTTTGCGGTTGTCAGAGGAACTCGACGAGTTGAAGGATAAAACTCGGTGAGTTGGGTCAACTTAGGTCGTTGACTTTGACTTTTGGCTTATGCCTTTGATCAAGTTTGTCCCAAGGGGTGTTTGGAACAATCTGAATTGGAAAATGTGGGCTTAGGATAAGGCCCGTATGGGATTGGGCCTAATTTGGAAAATTGGGCCATTAGTGGGCTTTCATGGATTTTGTGGTTTTGGGCTTGGGCTTTAGTTATAAATCTTATTGGGCTAGGGGTAAAATGGTCATTTTACCCCATGTATGGATTTTGGATCATGGTTTGGAACCTAATTGCTAATTGGGTGATATTTTGGTATTGTTAGCTCGAGGAGTTGTCAGGGCAGCAGTTAGGAATTTTTTGTAGTGAGCTTCAGCATTTGAGGTGAGTTTCCTTATTGGGTTTAGCGAGTCGAAGGCACCAAGGCCGGACCATGTTTATATTATGTTGTTAGTACGTTAGTTGACTTCGTGACTCTTGCATGTGTTGTGTTTATATGTTTTCCGGGTTAAGGCTCGATGTCGGGCAGGGCCTGATGGATATATGTATTCTATGCATCTCTATGATTATTGCATGTGTATGTGGTTATTTTGATATATGTTATTGTATGTTGGGCGGGGCCCGTTTTACAGAGCTCGGCTCGATGCCGGGCGAGGCCCACTATATGTTATTATATGATTGGTATGTGGTATTTGGGGAATTTACTAAGCTTTGTGCTTACGGTTTTCAGTTTATGTTTCAGGTACTCCGGTTTTCAAATTAAAGGGGCTCGATACGATCGCAATGCATACACCTGTGTTCTCTGCAATATATGATCTTTGGGAATGAACTCTGAAAGTAGTTTTATTTAAAATCTTTTCAACGTTTGGGCAAAGTTACAATGGTGTTTTGAATATAATAAAAATGAAATTTTTAACCTTGATTTTTGAGATTTTACACGAACCTGGCTCAATTCAAATAAAAGACGTGTAAATATTATATGTAATATACAACCAAACTAATTTTGGGGCCCCAAACCATCATGAGGCTCAGGACCGTCACCCAACTTGTCCACCCTATTGGGTCGGACCTGATCATGATTAACTCAAGACAAACTGAATTCAATTTTAGCTATAACATACACGCTTGAAGATGTAGAGTGTACACAAGTATAAACTAATTTGATCTCAGGACCATGACGGTCAAGGGCAACACCTCTGGTGGGTTCCAAGGGGCATTGACGTGACCCGATATAGGATTCATATGTAAGGATATTATGCATCCATTATTTTTCCACAAAACCCAACTAAAGCGTTTGCTCCTAACGTATACGACTTCTCCTGATAAATAACCAAATTTAATTTTCATTATCTCATAAGTATATGAACTGGTTATACAAATTGATATATTTCCCTAAACGTTTTTCTTCGAAGTCATTATCTTTGTAATCATAAAACAACAAGGTATTTTGTGTTTGTATATCTGAATTTGCATGAAATCTGAATATTGCTTACTTGAATGACCATATATCTGATTCGTGTAATTCCAAATAATAGGGTTAATTAAATTATCGATTTTGGATTTTATGATAAATAAAAGGGTATTATCGTCTTTGATGGATGAACAATACAAAATTAATAGTGGGTCACTTTAAATCTTGTGGATTAATATAGTCTTTTGTGTGTTGCTTGTGCTCTTGCACGTTAGTTACATAATTGCATATTATGTGTTTATTATGTATATGGTGATGATGTTTGTTTTCGTATCTGATTAAAATGTTTTTACCTTAATTTTTGTTGTTTGTTGCCATAAAAAATTTGATTCCTGCTTAATAAGTTAAAGTAGATTCAACCATGATGTTTTCAATCAATATAAGGTTATAATAGGTACTTCACAAACAAGACCCGTGTTAGCAAATTTGGAGATTAAATTTATTTTAGTAGAATATTTTTATCCTGATTTGACCTTGATCCCGTTCTAAAAAAAGATTTTAAATAAGAATCTTAACAACCTTAGTATCCATCAATCAAGTATTTAAATGTATCTTTAAATCTCAAAGCTAAAAACCATTTCAACAAGAAAATATAAAAACTTAGATGTATGTATTGCAATAACAAATCTTTTTACCATTCTCAAGGTAAATATGCATATATCGAACGGACACGTTCTCTCTTTGGAAATTGTAAAGAAAACAACAAACGAGTGTCCTAAGGTTTGGGTAAAATGTACATATGGGACAAAGTTGATGGGTGTTTTTATGCTCTACAAGTTCTAAAAGGGCAAATATGTAATTTTCGTATTACTATTTACCAGTACCACTTCAGAACGCTTGAACTCGCCGGTTTGGGAGGTGGTACGGAAATCAGTCACAGGCTCGGGACCTGCTTTCTACTTCCCTGAAGCTCATCCTCAACCTCAGGTTTGGACTTCGCTCTTTCTCAATGTATATATAGCCGTTGAGATCTCCCTCCTTCAAACTCAAATGGCCAACAAATTTCCATCTTTCCTCAACTCTATCAACTCATCACTCAATAACACAATCTCTAATGCCTTTCCAATTTATCATCTCAGCTTTTCAGTTAAGTGTTTGACCTCGATGGAAAACAGAAGACGAGGAAGAATTAGAGAACATATACGTTTGTTTCTTCTGTGGGTCTAGGGTTTTGTTTATGGGTTTTTTTTAATTATTTGGGATTTTGTTGGCGAAATTGTACATCAAACGATAGATGGGGTTAGGGTTCTGGGTCAACAGTGCAATTTGATGTCAGCTGATGCTAAACAGAAAGCGGTGTCGAGTTAGATCACAGAGATGTATGTTTATTTTGTCGGTCTAGGGTTTTAATTATTGGGGGTTTTGTTAGTGAAATTGTACATGAACAGATAGATGGGCACTAGGGTTCCGGTTCAACAGTTTAATTTGAGATCGGCTGATTCATACATAGATGGGACTTCTTTGCATGATCTGAATACTGTGGATGGGCGTTCTGGAGAGATCATTGAACCCATGGTTGACCGAAGTGCTGTTACAGATGAAAGCTTAGACAATGAAGACGACTCTGGTGCTGTTGTGAGTTCCAAATAGTCTCATATTATTTACCTTATTTGTTGTCTTTCTTCTAATGATTTTGCTACTCTATTACTTAATGCGTTTGAGTTTTATCCGAAATTAGTGCTTAATTTCTTGTTCAGATCCATTTCTAAGAGCTATCCTGTTATAAATGATTTTTCTTCATAATGCAGGAATGCATGCATGAAAGTTACCAGAATACATTACCACTTCATAATGTAGGGGTAGATGGAGGTCATTCAAGCCTTGATTCTAACGGGTCTTCAAGGGATCCATATAATATATTATCAGCCAATGGTAATATGAAATTTCCCACCACATGTTCATCTTATGATTAAGATTAAACCACTTGACTAAATTTGACTTTATTATATTATAGATGTTTCACCAATAGAAACAGCAAGAGCAAGATTTCTGGATTTTGTGGTGGATAATTTCATTGGGTCACATATAGTTGAAGCAACAGATTCTGAGACAGAAAGTTTATCTCAATCTGTGGAAGAAAAAGCAAGCAAGAGGAAGGAAAGAGAGATCCAATATGAAGGTGATTCCCTTTATGCATTGCCATTGATGTATGTGGCAAATATGTATGAAACTTTGGTTAATGAAGTAAACATGAGACTTTCTTCATTGGATGGAATGCGTGAAAAAACCATTGGAGTCGCACTTGAAGCTGCTGGTGGTTTATATAGGAAGCTTGCAAAGAAATTTCCTAAAAAAGGTTTGTTAATTTAATATTCTTTTGTTGCTTGTTCCCCATGCTTATTTATTATCCTCCAAAATAAATTTCATTTAGGACCTTGCACATTTAAAAGAAGAGAACTAGCAACATCTTTTGAGACAAGGTCAAGATTTCCCGAATTAGTAATACAAGAAGAGAAACGAGTTCGTTTTGTTGTAGTCAATGGTTTGGATATCATGGAGAAGCCAAATATTACACATATAGATGATGGAGAGTGGTAAAACAATATTCATTATCATTTTTAAAATAAGTTATAATACATTTATATTATTATTATTATTATAGATGACAAGTTTTTTTGATGTATGTAGGTTCAAAAGGTTGACTGGTAGAAGTGACGTGGCAGTTTCACCTCGTGACTATAAGTTTTATGCTCCAAGACATAAGTATAGGCGTTCTTCATCCAATTCTGTTTCAAGCATTTCTGGTTTTTCTGTAAGTTTTCTATGCTGATTTTATTTATTTATATTAATATTGAAGATAATGAATAATGATGATATATTATTGTTTTGAGTTTAGAATTTTCCTGGTGCTGATAATTCTTCTCCAATGTCTGTTGCTCAAGGATACCGCTCTCTTACTGAAGTAACATCTTTTACTTTTCACCATTTAATTTGATTATATAATATATAATTTTGAATAATTATGATAATAATAAGATTTGGTGAATAATTATTTTCAGCCACATCCACAAGATGATGAACATCAGCAGACATCATCAAAACAGCATATGCAAAGTCTTCCACACCAGGGTCAGTTTCATATTCAATCGCTGACTCATGGTCAATATTCTCAATCATCACATCTTCCTGAAATTGGGCACACACAGCAGTCATCTGCCATGTCTCAACAGTTGGCTTGTTTACAACCACTCACTCACCTTGGGGCCCGCTTGCATGTACTGGTAATCTTTCTCTATCTATATAATCTCAACCTTTTTTTTTGAAAAAAAAAAAAAAAAACACATTTTAGTTTGTTAATAATTGTTTATTTAATATATATATATTTATTATAGCCTACAAGCCCTGCAAAGTTTTGTGATGAATGTGGTGCTCCGTATTTGCGAGAAACTTCCAAATTCTGCTCAGAATGTGGTGTCAAGAGGCTGGGAACATGATGTGTTTCTTTTTTTCCTTTGCCTCTGGTAAAAGACATGAATGCCCTTCTCATCCTTCATTATTGAAAACAATCTAGGGCTGTTGTTGAAGTTTTTTTTTGTTGTGTTGAAGGGGTAGAGGATTAGTTGTTGTATTGTGGATGTTTACTATGTATTGGAATAGTGAATGTGTCTTGTAAAAATTGCAAATATTTATATTTATATTAAATCAGGTAGAGGTGTTTGTGGTTTTGTTGACCTTAAAATTTTATTAGACCTTCGTATGCCTTATAATGACACAAATGAGGAAACTTACACATTATATTCAAAAAAGGAAAACGGACTTCATGTAAAGGTTCACCTATATGTTGAATATTTTATTTACCCATATTTTTAGGGGTTTTGATTTAATTGACCATCAAATTTTCATAAGGTCATCTCATTGAACTTATATGAGTTTAATGGATTGATACATATACAATCCAACACTCACTATATAACTTTACATATTAAACTCTACATTTTATTAAACTTTATACAATTTAATGGATTGCCATATTATTTATCATTTTCTTTTTATTTATTGTTTTTTTTTTGTAAATAATTAATTAGCATGAAATTAAAATTTAAAAACTATAATTAAAATTAACATGAATTAAAAATTACAAATAATAAATTGAAATAAAAAATAGTTTTAATATATATATATATATATATATATATATATATATATATATATATATATATGTGTGTGTGTGTGTGTGTGTGTGAGAGGAGAGTGAGAGTGCAGAGTGTTCAATGTAGATTGAACACCTCGTTTTATTGAATCTTTGTCATTATCCCACAATGATGATTTTGAGTTTAATGAAATTAAACTCCCCATTAAACTCTCATTAGAGATGGCCTAAGTGTCACCATTTAGCCATGTAAGGGTTTGTTTGATATGTACTTGACTAGGTCCGGTCAGCTGTTTTGGCTAACTTGGTCCGGTCAGCTTGTTTGATAAAGCGATAAAATGCTCTGACTCGGTCATGTAAAATCGTCTGATTCGGTCGTTCCTAAAAGAGAGGCTGGCCGAGAAATTTCTCCACTTTGCCCTGAAGCTTTGAAATCCCTCCATCGTGAACGACACAACGCTCTCTCCTCCATCGGCCCTTCCTAGCCTACAACCTCCTTCCTTCTTCGTCTCCTTCCATCGGCGCTAACCATTCAATCGATTTATTCTTCCTTTAATTTTTGCAGGTAAGGGCTTTCTTCTTCAATTGGTTTCTTCTTCCTTTAAATTTTGCAGGAGAGAGACGATTTCTGTAATCAATTTATTCTTCCTTTAATTAGTGAAGTCTACGTTTCCATGTTGTGTTCCAAATTTCATTTGTTTCTAATAGGCTTTAACAACTCAACTTTTCTGTTTAATTTTTGTGTGTCTAGGAAATTTAAAACTTGTTAACTGTTGGATACTGGGTGACATGGATAGAATTGTTTCCATGTCATCTACTTCCTTTAGTTTATTTTTTTTAGGGAGAGGAGTCTGGGGATGATTCAAATGATGGTGAAGTATTGTATTGAAAGTCAAAGTTGGTGTTCCAAATTGCTTTGTAATTCGATTGAAAAAAATAATTCATGTATTTTTATTATGTTCCCTTTGTGTATGTGTATGTATCATCAATGTTCATTGCCTTTTCTGTTAATTATTTGTTGGTTTGATCAAAGTTCATTGCCTTTTCTGGAATCAAGAATAATTTATTTTATTTTATTTTTGGTGCTATATAAAGTTTTTCATCAAGGGGTAATATGGTCATTTTCATTATTAATCACAACCGGTCAGAGATATAATCAAATAACATGGTTTCAGTCTGATGTGGATTCAGTCAAAAGTTCTAACTCAGTCAGCACTAACCCGGTTATCAACTATCAAACAACCCTTATGTCCAACATCACCTTCATTATATGTTCACTAGACTTTGGAAATGGTTATCCCTCTATATTAATTTATCTTTTTTTTTTATATTATATTAAATAAAAACACAAGAGAAATTAAATTGGCTTCTACATTTTATGCCTACAAATATTCATGCCCACTAATATTATAACACATGTCACCATTCCATATTTACTTAACTATTTCATTAAGAGTATATTAGGAATATATCAAATTAAATTAAATTGAATTGTGGAATGATGACACGTGTCATAATGTTAATGGGTAGAAACATTTGTAGGCATAAAAGGTAGGAAGCAATTTAATTTCTCAAAATACAATTATTAAACATACATAAATATTTTATAAATAAAAAAACATTAACTTAAATAAAAATAATATTTTTAAAATTCAACGTACACTTTACTAATAAAAAAACATTAATAAAGCATTGAAATAAAAAAATACTACTCGTCGTCATCGTTGTCCTCACCGTCGGTCTCGTTCTTATCGTCCGCGTCCTCATCCTCCTCATCATCATTGGGGTTTTTGAATTGTCGTTGTCATATGTGTTCAGTCAAATCTTGACATAGATTATGATGTGTTTCACTGTTTTGTATTTCTAAAATCCTTGTAAAATATGTTGGACTACCGACTTGTATTACTGCAGTTGGATTGAGTATATCGTTCAAAGTATATGTACAAATAGTCCTACCCTCTTCTTATATTATCATGTTATGTAAAATAACACACACTTTCATCACCGTCATCAATTTTTCCCTATCTCGTGCTCGTGTTGGATGTTTGATTATGTGCCACTTATGTTTAAGGACTCCAAATGCCCGCTCCCACTACTAGAAAACAGCCCTTTAATGACGTGCAAACAATGACACACAGTGATTTACGATACGCAAAAGTGAGCGCCCTAAAAATAATGTCATCTCTTCTAAAATTTGAAGGATAGAGGACACGCATTTATGCGTGCCCTAAAATTAATGTCAGAAAAAAAAAACATGGAGGGTGCATATTTAAAATGGGTGTCATCTAAGCGTGTCGTTTTATAATTTTTAATGAAACGCGCTTGTTAATATCCAAGGCAGTAAATCGAATCCAAAATAATTAAAACCCCCGCCTCTTCGATCCTCTCTCATTATCCCTTGTTCCCCTTAGCATCCCAAAACAACCCTAAAGTCCCCCACAGATAACTAGGGTTTTTTCACTTCAACATTCTCCATACGATCGATCTAGAGTACGGCTGCAATGCTTCATCTCACCAGCCGACGACCGCATTAGGCTCGCCTCAGTGATCACTTCACCGGCAGCTGTGACTCATCAGTTTCACTCTGTCGGAGACAACTTCCCGATCCTAGTTTCCATCTACATCTGCCTCCTAAAAGATATGACGACACCTTGTTTGATCCTTTATCAAGAAGCGTGATGTTGAATCCCTAAAGTCCCCCACACGATAACTAGGGTTTTTTCACTTCAACATTCTCCATACGATCGATCTAGAGTACGGATGCAATGCTTCATGTCACCGGCCGACGACCTCATCTGGCGCGCCTCATTGATCACTTTACCGGCGGCTGTGACTCATCAGTGTCACCGTGTCGGAGACTGCTTCCCGACACATATAATACACGGCTTAATAAATTTTATTATAATTTATTTTTGGTTACCTCCTAATTGATTAGATCCTGCATGTGGTTGGTATATTGGTCTCTGTTGGGCTGCTAAACATGTGGATTTTGCGTTGATTAATACTATTGATTATGGAAGTGGGCATCAAGGCTCTCTCCCCTATATATATATATATATATATATATATATATATATATATATATATATATATATATATATATATATATTGGATCAGAGGAACATGTGGATATTAAACTCGCTTGTTTCTGGAACTTTTGCAGATCTCCAATAAGATCCAGATCTCCCCTACCTTCTGTAAGTCAAACTCAAACCATAATTTGATCTAATCGGCTAATTTTTAACCTTTTTGTAGTTTGGTCTAATGTCTAAACACAAATTTTGATTTATTTGTTTATTTATAGCATCTTATTTTTTGATTTATTTGTAAATATAACGATTGTATGTGACAATGGAGTTCGGCACCCTAAGCGGGTAACGAAAAGCCCAAAAAGACGTAGTCCTAGCAAGAGCCCCGACATGAGCAGAAGCAGGAGCAAGAGTTTATCTCAGTATAATTTTTTATCCCCCCCCCCCCCCTCACTCTCTAATATATAGGGTATGACATGAGTTTGGTGGCTATTGGAACAACTTGTTCTTGATTTTCATGTATCACTTGGTACTTAATTGTTAATTAATTACTGAGCAATTTAGACCCCATATATGTGCTAATTTAGACCTCATATATGTTGGATGTAAAGTTTTGTATTTTGACTATTTTCAATTTTTTATTTATTGTTAATTAGTTACTGAGCAACTAATATTTATATTAATCACTTGTGTTATGTATTTTGACTATTTTCAAATCTTTTTACTTATTGTTAATTAGTTACTGACTAACTAATATTTATATTTGCTGCACCACGAGAGAAAACTGAATGAGGTAAGTGTTTTGACAGATGAAAACTATGGTTGGTATGATCTTCTGAAATCTGGTTAGGCACTGTCTAGTAATGGCATGGAGATCAACACTCATTTTGGAATTCATCCATTCTACATTGAAAAAGGTTGACCATTCATTAAATATGGTTTTGATATATGTTGACCTTCAATGGATATTAAGATATTTCTATTTAATGAGAGGTATTTTTCTATGCCTTAGGTAACAATCATTTAGAAACTAAAGGATTTGACTTTCTGGCACCAACCACCCATAGAAATTCCTTGCGTATACTCCGTGTTATGCAACTTAAAAAGCCTAGTTTTTTTTCTTCTTTCTAATGATGTGTTTTATAATTTGGGACACTATTTACTGTGTTTACAACTACATGATGTTCTTACTTATCTATATTTTATTATGCATTATAGTTCTGGGGAAGGAAGTCTAAGTGTTGGAAAGACAAGTTTAGTCCTTGCTCCTGGAAAATTCTCTGGACATTCTGTTGTTCGGATTAACTTATCAGGTACCTAAATTTCTGGCATTTTTTTGGTTGTGTGTATTTTGGATATTTCTAAATATTGTTGTTCATATGTACGATTTCTAATTAAACCATAGGCTGGCATGATGGATCCACTGCGATCTGACTTACCTGTTGAAAGTGAAGAAGGAATGCAGTTTGCTTGGTCTGATGGCATCATGTTGCAGGTTAGAAACAATTTTTACTAAACCCTAAAGTCTAAAGAATATATGGGTAACTCATACCTGCATTTGATTTGGTGTCTTGATTGAACTGCAGGGGTAGTGGGGCGGATAATTAGAAGGAATTGATGGCAAATTAAGCATTTAAAGGGATCCAACCAGTAGTACATGTTTTGTTTTTATATAATAAATACTACATTATGCAATATTAACAATGTATTACATTCACTTACTATTGGGATGATTATTTGTATTTGACATGTTAGTGCAATGAATTATCTTTCTTACTTATTGTATTTTATTTTGTATTTTGTATGACATTAACTTTTGTGTAAAGGATTGTATTTTTTGTATATATGGTATTTTATTTTCTATTATGAGACATGAAATACAAATTTAATTTGAAAATTAGTAAATCTATAGATAATTTTTTTAACAAAAAATAAAAATAAAAATTACAATACGCAAAAATGTGTGTCATCTTCATTTATGGCATGGCCTTCTTGACAGTGGCTTTAATGATACGCATTGTGTGTCATAAATGTGCGTCGTAAATGCGCGACGTCTATAGAAGACACACAAAAGTGTGTCGTCTCTCATTATAACAGGGTCTTCCTTGACACGCATTTGCGCATCGTCTGAATGTTTTACGACACGCATTTACACGTTGTAAAAGGTTGTTTTTCTAGTAGTGTCCACTTGCAGATTCATGTGCTAACTTGAGCAATTTTTATTTTTCATCGGTCGGATATGTGTATGACTTGACAAATGTAGTGTACTCTGGATATATCCCATCACCAAGGTAATATCCATAATTGTATTCATGTCCATTTACAACGTATGGCATGTTTGGTGCTTTACCCTGCAAAATGTCATTAAATAATGGAAATGCTCTAAGAAGATTCAGGTCGTTATTTGACCCTCCCATACTAAAAAATGCATGCCAAAACCAGAGGTCGTGGAAACAACTGCTTCTAGTATAACAGTAAGCACACCATGATCACCTCGCATGAATTGCCCTCGCCATGCTTTGGGACAATTTTCCCACACCCAATGTGTACAATCAAGGCTACCTAGCATTCCTGGAAATCCATGTTTAGCCTGATGTGTGACATACAACTGTTCCACATCACTTCTAGTCGGATTTCTCAAGTATATGTCACTGTAAAGCTCTATACCAAAAAAATGTGCATTCTCGACCGGTCCTCATAGAAACTTTAGATTCTACTAATACATGCGCATTTATACTTTCCACTCTACCAGTTCACACTTAAGCACATAAATATTATACTACTAGCTCTACTTTATTCGTTCCTTATCCTAACATACATGGATATATATTGTAGTACATTGCATAGTGAGATAACTCACCTGGACAGTTTCTCAGAAGATTAACAACTTTTTGGGCAATCCCACTGATGGGCAATGCACCAAACGAGTATTAACCTATCATATTATAGCTCATCGGTTCTTATGACAATCTGATAATGAAAGTTAGATCGATCACAAATCTCAATGAATACCGAGAGTTCTATCAAATAAGGATCAGCTAGGTCGGACAATTGGGAGGCATGACCATTTCGGCGTATAGTCTTTCTGAAATCTAACAATCAAGCCAATGTGACCATTCTATACACATCTCTCATAAGTAGATCAATCAGCAT